GAGACAGCTTTCAATAAAACACACATACATCGTAGACCATCTATTTTCACCTAGCTGTTTGTTTTGAATTTGTCTTTATTTGCCGTGTTTATCGTCATGCTGAAGGGACTCCAGCAGAGGCTGAAAATGAGATACAGGCATAGATATCAAAGCTAACAATCATTTGACACTTGTACTGTTTTCTGGGACTTCGATGTGAATTCTGTGGTTCCCTGAGATATCTCATACACGCACAGTGGCTTCAAACCTGTGTTCACACACTCCTGTATTTCACGAATCCAAGGACTGGGCATGATTAATGTGCATTCCTGAAGGCAGGGACACAGGCTACCCTTGTGTGGGGAGGCTGTCTACTGAAGAAACTCAGCACCCTACATGGGCTCCTACACACTGAAGGAGGACAGCCTTTCTGCCACTCAGGAGCAGCCTGCCACACCCAAAGAGAGTGGGTGTCTTTTCTGCTGACTCTTTGTCCTCACCTCCCTTGACTTAACATTCTCCTTTGTCCATTTCCATCTCCCTCCAGCCGCATTTACCACGGTGGTCTCATCTTTTGTAGGGCAGGAGTCGGCTATACAGAGCCCTTTTGAAGCCTTTAAGGACAAGGATCTTGCCCTATTTATCTCAGGGCTCAAAACATGTTTGCCGAATAAAGTCACACTTTTGGTGGGAGCAAGGAGATAGGTGAGGGTGTGGCAACTGATCCCAGGATCAAACGTGCAAGTTTGGAAAACAAATCAGAAATTTCAGGTAGCAGTTTGGTAAGTCAAGGTGAATAATACTCCATCCTGCACTGGCATCTGGCCTTACAAAGGCAGGTAAACACACAAAAATTCCAGGGCAAAACCCCAAACTAAACCAAATACCCACCCTCCAATCCCACCAATTTAGATTTATCTTCAATAATGATGTATAAAGAGAATAGAAATACACAAAATTATAAGGGAGGAAAACCCCTCTTATATTCATGTATTCTACATTCTCAACAAAAAAAAAGAAAGAAAGAAAAAGAAAAAGAAAAAAGAGCCATATTTAGTCAGTGAATCAGTGGAGACTTGAATATGTTATTTACTATAGTAATTCACCCTCTGCTGGACCACACCTAGACATGGCCCATTTCACTTGTTACCCCTCTCTTCTGCAATTAGTTGGTATGCTTGAAACCAAGTAAATGGATTTTGAAATTAGCTGGTCAAATAAAATTAGGGAGAAAAAATATCTAGCCTAGACAAAATCTCTACAAAATGCCTCTAAGCACAGATAATATTCCATTAGCACACAATGACCTAACCACAGTCCCATTCTGAACCGGCTTGCTGTCTTAGAGAAAACAATAAGCCTCTGATGTTATAAAGCTAAGCAACTCCTGGGCCTGCAGACACTGACGGAATATCCTTACTTGGTTTCAGTAAGAGAGTCAGAAAGATCAGCCCTACTAAATTTAGTCTCTGAGCTGATTTCATCACTAACCCGTCGTCTCTGCTGACACAAGAGAGAGAAGCACAGGGGACACAGTGCTAGGCTGGGACCAACCTATTTAACAAGCACAGATCTGTAGCCAAAAATGGTCACAAAGAACTTGCTACCTTGCACAGGAATAACTACCATCAGGGTATAGCCCAGAGGGCTCATCCTCCAAGTTCCAAGAATGCCTGATGGCCACACCTGTGAGAAGGCCAGTGCCATACTACAAACCGTATCCCCTTCTATCGGTTCATATATCCATATTTGTAAATGCAACTATGATTTCATCAGCCAAATTGAGAAGTTTTCCCAGAATAAGAAAACAACAACAACAAAACAAAAAGGAAAAGGTAGAAACTTGATCCAACACAAAGCTTGAACAAATCTGGAGAAACACATACTGAATTCGCATAAAAAACCCTGATTGTTTTTCTACCTTTAAAAAAAGTCAATCAAGAAAAATACTCAGAATTTTCAAAAATGCTTTCATCCACATGACATTTTACTTAAATACTCAGATGCTCAGGAAAATAACTGAGCCTTCCACCACCACAGTGCCAATATTGGGCTGATACTGGCAGTGGTCCCTGGCAGTGTGGAATGCCTGCTGGGATCTGCTGTCAGTGCTTGCTGTCCTGTGAGGCCCTTGAGAAGGAGATGGGAAAATGCAAAAGGAGGGATAGGGCAGGGTCAAAGGTGAGGAAGAGAAGTAATCCTTTGCCTCCTGTCAAACTTCCTGTTCCTTTTTCTGCCTCCTTTGCACACAGCCCATTTCTTTTTTGTCACCTCAAATAAAGCACCTCTAATTGAGGAAGCTGCTTTAGTAACTTGTAGCACCATACTGATGTTTCCCCCTTTTCAGTACCTTGGCCAAC